CCCACCGACACCACGCGTACGCTCCACTAGGTCCTACCATGTCCGCTAATAAACCAGGATGTACAGCTGTACATCCTGGTTTATTAGCGGACATGGTAGGACCTAGTGGAGCGTACGCGTGGTGTCAGTGGGGTCGGATCTCTCACTCATTGTACACGTGACATGCACGGTCGCCACCTTTGATATTACCTCGATGTCACTGGAAGAAGGAAAGTCATCTCGATCCAGTTTTACATCTCCCACTGGTCGTGACAAAGAAGACAGAGGCTATATACAGTTGTCAGGAATGAGCCGAATATAACTCCAAAGAACTGTTTATTTACCCGTATGGTCCTATCACATACGTCATACATGTATACGATTGCCGTAGAATAGCAATATGAGGATATTCTTGGGATAGTCATGAATGTGTCAAGCTAAAAATTAAATGACTTGTTAGGACATCCTCCTCAGACTCAAAATCCAATGCGATAGGGCGCGTAAAAAAACAAGATTCCTACATTTTCAAATTTTCAGATCTGAAACCCTGTTCAACTGGAATGTGACGAGAAAACAGGATGTCACACCCAACACGTCTTTTATTCCTGTATTCATTAATACCTGACCTTGTATATGCTTATATATCTCAATTAACTAGAACAAATGATGGAAGGAGCCTGTCTTATCATCATGGGTAGCTACTTCACCGGTTATTTGTTTGCAATGGAACACCTTAAACTGTCAATACTTGTCACCAAATACGAGCAATTGTGCCTCAAGTTTGCTGTTAGGGCATATGTAACTTAATTTTTTTCACAGCGACATATTCCTTTGTCCATATAGTGACGCGACCCTGCACAAGGAAAGAGAACTTCAGACGAGTCGCCTCCGCTATTTTCCGTCTCGTAAACGGTCGATGCCATTTGAAACGGTCGATGCCATTTTGCTGAATGGTCAATGTCATATCCGAGCGTCCAAAAACGACTAAAAATATAATACTATATACTATAAAAAGCAATATTCTAATTGCAAATATAAGGGAGGGTTATGTAGAATTGTAAATATTAGTAAAAAAAAAGCACAAGCTCGGATTCGAACCCGGGTCCAAAAGTGTAACTCCAAAACCCTCACCCTAACTTATACCCTAACCTCTACGCCACGAAACATCACGGTGTGGATGGACCGTGCTGATACACTTAAAGTCAGCCCTTCTACGATATGGCATCGACCGTTTCCAATGGCACCGACCGTTTACGAGACGGAAAATAGCGTCGCGTCCAACGCATCGAACTCTTCCTTCGGCATCTCTTCAGCTTAGTGCTGTGCTATGCTATTAGCAGACTTAGTAGCTATAGATGACAATAATAAAAGGTTTGAACCTGAATCGCTTATGATGTTTGTGCTTCGGTGATACCTGTGATGTCACCCTAAAATGATATCACATTTCTGTCACCACGTCTGATACCTCACTGATACGATAGACTAGTTTACAAAATGATTGCCATGTTGTTTTCAAGATATCGCCTACTTTATACTTCGTTCTCTAATGTGCTATAAATTCTGTATCATTGATCAAACTATGTCTTTCAAACAAACCGTTTATTTGTTCTATAAGCCAAGAGAATGATAATCAAGAACATTAAAATAACTCTTAAATAAGTAGTCGACGTCATAGGCCACAATTCTGCGTGAAATTTTATATTTTGCAGATAGGGAACAGTATAGTGTATGTAAACAGTGTGTGAGCACTTCACTGTAGCAACAACATGTCGTAAAATGGCTAAATCCCTACATAAGATCGCGCTCGTGGCGGCCGCCCCCTTGGGGTCATTAACACCTGGCCTAGAGTTTACACAAATACAGGCTACATAAGATCAACAACTAAGACAAATTACTAAACAGATGAACAAGCTCATCTTCCATAACAATATCTTTCATTTACTGTATATAACATAGTTTAAGTATACAATTCAGCGCCCTTGGCAATTGGCAGCGCTGCCATGTACTTGAACTTTTTTACGATGAATCAATAAACAGGTGTTAAAAATATCATTTATTTTTGAATTATAAGATGTCGTAGTAGGTGCAAACTATAAGTCACAATATCCAAAAAGATACTCGCCAACGAGTACACAAAAACCACCCAATATCTGCTTACTGTACAATACAGCACCTCGCCTACCAAACAGCTAGGCCTATACACACTATTATAGAAATAGGGGTGTTTCTAAAATATGCATATTTACTTCAATATGAAAACTGCTACGGTAAAATAACGTACATCATCACGGACATAATGGCACATCACATGCCCAATTACAGAGAAATATAACCGACACATATTTTTTAACTCGTAACACAATTTGAAATTTACCC